CCACAAAATTTGCTCCGGTGTAAAATATATCGCAACAAAATATTTCGGTGCAGCGTCGGACCAAATGTGTGCTGTGTGAAAAGGGCTTTTGAGTTCATAAATTCTCCTCTCTTTACTCTGCTTCCAATGATGCAAGGCTTTCTCAAAGTCAATTTATCATCACAAAAAACTTTCCAACTTTAGCTGCTTCTTCCGTGATACCTCCGCAATAAACTTTCACAACACTTGCTCGCAACACTTGTTCGCAACACTTGTTTTAACGTTACACAACTTAATAGTTGTGTAACGTTAAATAACGTGTAACGTCAATTTTCTGCTTCCGGCGAGGTGAAGGCCGATCTCGCCAATCTCGTCTCGCGAGAACGGAAATCTCGTCACGCGCGATTACTTAACGCGAGATCAAAATAACAATGGCGGCGATGGTCAAACTGCGATCGTTGCCGGAAAAAAAATTTACCGGAGGTTTTTTTTTTTTTGTTTTGACTGAGAAATTTCCTTGTGTCCCAAAAACACACATTATTTGGAACTGTGCATCCCGTGGTAAAATTATGTGTCTCGGACGCGGGACGCAGAGGTAACGAGATGGCTGCCTATGCATTAAAATTTCAACTACAATATTACATTACATTTCGACTACAATTACATTAACGAAAACGGCGACATGTAAGTGACTCTATTAGTTTGAATTGATTAATATGTCAATATTACGAGAATGGTGTCTTCTTCTTTGTTTGAAATATTGTTTGGGAGACCATATAAATTACTGATATTTTCTACACAATTGTGAACTGGGAAATGAAGCTAATTCGGCTGACTATATGTGAGAAAGTTAAAAAAAAAAAAAAAAAAAGAAATGACTTGAGATTGCCGTAGGAGGATTGTGCTTTTTCACAGCAGGACGAAATGATGGTTCCAGCAAACCTGGCTCTGATTTGAAACGTGAAAAAGAAACATTGTGCTTCTTTGAAGTGTTGCTGACCACACCGATTGACGGACATTGTAAAAAGGTCATCTCGATAGAAACATCCACCGAGGAAGGTGAGCGAAGTCCGGTGACGCGATGGGCACAGTATTTTAGTGACAGGGAACATCAAACGACTGGCGGAAGAAGTTTCAAGACACCTTTGCACTCATTTAGGGTGTGTTTCTGTCGACATGAGAGCATATCAGTGGTGGTATGTCATTTCCTGTTATATGATCACACTAACATATGGACAACTGTGCTGATCTTCTCCTTTTTTAGATGGTATTTGTGCTCTCCTTTAGCACATGTGAAAGGGGATGTACAGGCGCTCCCCGATTTACGAACATTCGTGTTACGAACAACGGTACATACGAACATTTTTGCGGGTGCAGGTATGTCGAAAAATTTTCTTGGACAGAGATGCTGTAAGTTAGATTTTGTATTGCGCGCCCTTTTCCGAGTACTGTAGTACTTCTTTCTGCCGCTAATACCGACGTGAGGCGCTGTGAGAGGAGGAGGAGGAAACGCCTGTCCCCATGAAGAAGTTTTAGACGGAACTCTTGGCCGAGGGCTTTTCGCTCATAGATAAAGCCATCGCATTCTTCGAGCAGCAAGACCCAAATATTGAACGTTGCACAAAGGTTGCAAATCAAATGAATGATGCCATACAGTGCTACTGCATCATTTATGATGAGAAAAAGAAGAAAACAGTGCAATCGTTGTTAGATCGCTTCTTTCGGCCAGTTTCTACTACACCCTCCAAGGAAGATTG